GTCATAATAGGTGCAAGGCTTCAGTAAACTGCCCGCTGTTGCCACCCTGGTTTATTTTAGGAGATTCACTTCTTTGCCCTGTTTTCTGCTTTAGTTTTCACTGCACGCATTCTCACATTCAGTCAATACCAGATAGACTGGGTGTCTCTAAGAATCCCCAGTACAGAGCTGTCACACTGGAGGCCTTCCACAAACCGATGATCCTGCTAGCAAGCCACATGACAACCAAGATAATCTCTTCAGAGACCAGGAATATATGAAGAGCAGAGTGAAAACGTAAAGAAATGTCTATACACAGGCTGATGAAACTGGAATGTGCTTGATATTTCAAAATAGCACTTTTCCAGAACGCTTCAGGGGGCTGTTTGCAGATATAACATGTAAAGAAAAAATAATAATAAAAAAATAATAATAATAAAAATAAAAATAATTTTCACTGTGCAACAATGAAGTTGTTGCAACAGTGAAATAACTACACGGACATTTTGCATGTATCGCACTGAAGTTTTGTTTATCCGTACACCATTATTTCCACTGGATGAAACCTAGCAAAGTTTGCATGGATGACAATAGAGAAAATAAAAGTAGTTTACCCAAGAAAACAAAGCCACTTTCCTCTAAGTTTCAGAAGTGGAATCATTTAATGTAGATATTCAGCAAGATTCACTCATAAATAATTTAAGCTGACTTCTTGACAATTACAATTCAGAAATGTCTGACTATGATACTACTAAGAAATGGCTGAACAATTCAGATGACAATGGGACTGAAAATGCACAAACATAATATATTTCCTTTGTATTTTTTATTCAGAGATATGTCAGCAAATGACTTTGCACAGCAAAACAAGGTTACCATGCATCCTATTTTCTCAGTATTCCTTTGTTCGAAATAACCTCTTCTAGTAGTTTACTTCAAAAAAAAATTAAAATATTTAAATCTACTAAAGATTTAACTAGTCTGAACATTTAAAGCTACCACATGATGCTCCTTACAGGTTTAACATACGCAAATTGCTGTGTTGCCATTTACAGAAATAGCATTTATATTCAGTTTTACAGACCATATGTTATTATTGCTGAATTTCAAAAGTTCCAATGATGAGCTGCAACTACTGCTTGGTTGTCTCTTGTAAAGGCAGTCTCAGAAGTCACTGATTCACTGACATGCTGTGGCACTGAGCTTATAATTACAGAGATCAGAAGTAAACTTTATTTAGAATCACAATTCAAAAACTAATGTAAATATTTCCAAGTAGAGGACTTTTCAATGCCTCGGTAGCTTCAAGACAAGTCTCTTAGATTTGCTTTCTTATCTCTGATATGTCTTTCCTGAGTTGATATTTTATTCAGACACTAACGACGCTACCAAATACATATAAGGTTATGTGCAACTTCACAGGAAAAGGAGAGAAAGCAGAAAATATAAATGAGTGAGATAGAGAACAATTAGGGAAGAAAATAAAAATTAAAATAAAAAAGAGGTTTTCATATTAATAGAACCAAAAATATCACATTAAGTAAAAGTCATCACCATGAGTATGGAGTTATGAGAGTTTTGTCATTATTAAAATTATTAAAGATATGAAAAAAGCAAAGCCCTGTAAATCTTGTTTTAAAACATTTGCTTACCAGTAAAATGAAACCAACTATGTTAAGTTTGATCATCATGAAAACATTGACAAATCATGGAAGGAAAGTAGTTCAAGTGTGCTTTTAAGACCACCTCTCAATATGTAATTAGCTTCTGTGTACCCTCCTAGAGCTTGAAGCCGAGTGTGGAATTACTTTTACGTAAAATGTTTGATTCTACGGACATAACTGCCAGCTACAGTCAGAGCAATGAATTCAATGAACATGTTTTGAAATGCTCTTTTCAAAACACTGTCACATTGTGCTGTGATAAACCTGTGTGGCATCCACCACCATACTATCACACTCACTTTCCTCACCAGAACAAGTGCAGAAAACATGATAGAAAAAAACTCTTGAGGTAAGTACAGAGAGAGCATTCACCGATCACCATCACAGGTAAGACATACTCAGTTTGGAGAAGATTAATGTAATTTATTGTCAAATGATAACAGTGTAGAGCAGTGAAGAAAAAAATAATAAAAAAAAATAATCAAAACACCTTCCTCCTAGCCCTCCTCCTTCCCAGGTTCAACATCATTCCTGACTTCCCCAACTCTTCACTCTTCCTCTCCTCACCCCAAGCAGCTCAAGGGAATGGGGGCTGTGGTCAGTCCCTTATCCTTTGTCTCCTCTGCTCCCTCAGGGTCCCTCTCTGCCCCTGCTCCCCGTGGGGTCCCTCCCAGGGATGCCGTCCTTCCCCAACTGAGCCTGAGAGGGCTGCCCAAAGGCAGCAGCTCTTCAAGCACTGCTCCCACACGGCTCCGTCCCACGGTGTCCATCCATCCATCCATCCCCCAGGAGCAAACTGCTCCAGCACGGGTCCCCCACGGGTGGGGGCAGCTCCCCCCAGACCCCCTGCTCCTGCGTGGGCTCCTCTCCACGGGCTGCAGCTCCGGCCCGGGGCCTGCTCCTGCGGGGGCTCTCCATGGGCCGCAGCCTCCTCCAGGCCACATCCACCTGCTCCAGCGGGGGCTCCTCCACCCATGGGGGGGCTGCAGCGTGGAGATCTGCTCCATGGGGGACCCATGGGCTGCAGGGGGACAGCCTGCTCCACCAGGGGCCTCTCCCTGCACAGCCCGCAGGGGAACTGCTGCTGCTTGCCTGCAGCATCTCCTGCGGCACTCACCTGGGGGCTGCAGGGCTGCTTCTCTCACGTTCTCACTGCTCTCTCCTCTGTCTGCTGCTGCATGGTGTTTTGTTTTTACCCCTTCTTAAATATGTATACATATTGACACAACCACTGTCACTTATGGGCTCAGCTTTAGTGCCTTTTGGAGCTGGCTGGAACTGGCTTATCTGTCTCTTCTACATAGGACACCTTTACAGCCTCACCTGGCTACCCAACCATTCCACATAAACCTATACACACATGCAGGGTAAAAATAAATAAATAAAATCATTGGACATCCCAAAAGTTTTAGTTGATATAGGTTATCAACAAAGTTTTCCTGGAAAAAATACAAGGATATTTCCATTACTAAAGAATACTTACCTTATTATTTCTTCTTCCCCTTCTCTTAAAAGCCAAGCATGATTTTTTTTGTTTTCCTCCTAAGTGTTTGAATGAAAAAATTGCTGTCCGTTCTAGAATTTAAGTCATCTCTCTCTTCTAAACAGTAATTACTAAAGGAGAGGATACTATCAGTCACATTTAAAGCTCGAAAAGAGCTATGAATTCCTATTCTTACATATGAAGAAACTTGAAAGAAGTTTCCCACGTGTACCCCTGAAACCTATACGCTGCAGCAGGGAGTCCAATGCACATGGGAGAATGTGAGGCAGAAAGAACAAATGAAGAGGCACCATCACTTGCTGGTAAACAAGGTTTAGGCTGGGAGGGCAATGTTTTAAAGAAGCTACCAGATCGCTGCCAAGCCCTGGGATATAGTAACATATACCACAATCTTTAGAAATGAACAATTTTTCTCCAAATAATGATACAGGAATAAATACAGATGAGTAGTATAATTAGCTACATCATAAAGACAGCAAGTCCAATAATTAACTAAGACTGGGCTAGACCTAGTATATGGGCTCCTGAGGACTGACTTACACAACCACAGCTGTCAGACAGGCAAGAAGCAGGAGACAGCCTCTTCTCTGGACAAGACTTTGCTGGTGCAGCCAAAGACCTCAAGGAACGCCGAACTCCCTAGCCACGCTATCTTTTTCTTTTTTTTTTTTTATTGTCAAGCCAGAGAAGCACCACTTGGGCTTGTTAACTGATCACACACCATCCCTGCTGCCCATCTGCTCCACTTCTACCCCTGGTGTGTATGGGGCCCTGAACAAGACAATACTATCTGTCCTTGTTTTGTGTGCACAGGCCCAAAAGTACTGGAGAAAGCAATACTAGGCTCACACCTCCATTGCATCCATGGTCTCCCACAACACCATATTAGACAATACCAGCTTCACAAAAACTCAGTCTTGGAAACACAAAACCAATTGTTTACGCATGGCAGTCCCTACACAGTATGCAAGAATGAGTACACTGGGTATTCTGAACTCTGTATGAATATTTTTATTAGACACTGAGAATATAGGAACAGGCTCAGAAGCAGAAAAAGCTCTCAGCTTATTTTAGAGTAACTACAAACATCGTGCTGACAGTGAACAGACTGAATTTATACCAGCCTTATAAAACAGTAAATTCACTTTTAAGGAGAAGCTCAAAATGAAGAAAACTTTTTTTTTTTTTGAAAGACAGCAAAATCACCTTGTAATAATGCCCACGTTAGTGCCCTCTTAAGACTTCCACTTGGCACCAGGCCATTGGAAGACTATTTCAGTTTGCCAAAGTGCAAATACCTTTAGAAAGTCTAAAACAATTGAAACTGGAAGTACACAAAGGTAGAGAACAATTGAAACTGGAAGTGCGCATTGGACCAATCTACTCTCAAAGAAGTTTCACACTCCTTTTATTTCTGTATTTAAACAAACTGACATTCACCAGCTGCCCAGTTGTTTGTCTGAATACTGCTCTCTCACACTGCGCATATAGAATTTGAACCAATACACAGAATCTTAAAGTGTATTAGGAGACAACAACTCTCAATTCATTCACTTTAAGGAAACTGCAAAACTAATTAATATTACACTGTTTTCTCTTCCACTTTTTACTGTGTTGAGAAAGTTTCAAATGTAAACTGTGCATTTAAACTACTTGCTGTGCTACTTAAAGCCCACTAACTTAACATGGTCCAGCGTTTCAAACTTGGTTCCAAATTAAACCTTTTTTCTAAATTTCCACCACATACAAAATAACCTCATTAGAAAATACAATTCTGTCAAAACCAGGCTGGTGAGTAACATTATTGTTACAATACAGAAATAAAGAAAACAACATAATTTCTTCTCTTTTTTTCTCCCCCCCACTGCTAGCAGCACAGCATTACTAACAACTTCAGGAGCTTCTTGCACCACCTTCTTCCTCTTCTTTATGTTGTAGGCACAGTGCTGGTTTTACCACTTTTAAGTGATGTTTTGACAACCACAGCTGAAAAAAGAAAAAGCAAGAAGAAAAGAACATTTATTACTAACTGTAGCTGTTAACAATAAACTGCAAAAGTAAACACCATAAGGATATATTGCATATAGATAGCTTTTCCTCTATCATAAAAAGCAAATAATACATGAAATCACCTACCTCTACTATATTACTTTACATCCTCAACTCAGTTGAGTTTTTTCTGCCAAAGGAATACGATCCCAAAGTTGTAGCAACTGCTCTCCAACTTGTGGTTCCAGCTCCTAGAAACAAGCAGGAAACGTAAGAAGTTATTTCTACTGCTACTATCAAACATACAATTTATATCTGACAATTTAGTTTCTGTAACTAGTAAATTTGGAGTATGAAGGAATAATGTACTTTTACAGAAGACTTTCCATGTGGAGTATATAGTTTTGTTGAAAGCATAAATACAAGACATATTAAAGCAACGAGTCAGTTTCTACAACTTGACCTATTACTTCAAAGGTGCAGTGCAAAGTTCTGCCAAGTAATGCTTCTTCTACCACATGAACTTTCTCTTGTTCCACAGCAAAGCTTCCATTAGTTCAACAGTAACGCATTAGCAGAATATGCAGAGTGCCTCAATGAACTGTGATTCAGATTAACAAATACATCAAGACAGCTGATAGATGTCAAGCCTAAAGGAAGTAAAAATAAAACCAACATAGTTCCATCAAGTAATGGAGATGCTATGAGACAGTAATATTACCTGGCCATCTCTGCTTATTTGTACTTTCTTATTGTCATTCCAAGGGTTGAGCAAATGGTGTGCAAACTGAAAAGGAATGCTTTCTTTTCGGATCCACTCCACCTTAAATATACCTCCTAAACCGGCAGATCCCCAGTCTTGACTTTTCTCACTCCCTATCTCAGAAGACATTCTGGCAAATCCCTGGAGCAAAAATTGAAATGTGAAAGGAAAAACACAGATTAGATCTATTTGCTTTGGAATTAAGTAATGATTGGACTGGAGACTAAACTTTCAAATTACTTTGAGTGATTATCACTCTCTCCCAAGAAGCTGGATATTTTAAAAAGTTTACATCTGGAAATTAAAAGTATCTTTCATTTTTTCCTTTCAAATATGCCTTCTAGAATTTGACCATTGAGAATGCCTCTCAATCACTCATGACTACTGCTAAAAGGCTCCGAACTTTTTACAAAGTTTAAAGTATGTTGTAAAAGCATTTAAGTGTAATGGATCAAGATGAGTGTTCTACTACAAAACAGTCAGTTATTATTTGCTAGCTGTAGGTATTTCTTACAGAAAATATATTCCTTCATTCTCATTCCCTCTGTTCTACTGACTCTATGTGAAATTTTAACATAGCTGTTCATCAAAGAAAGAAGTCACAGTGTGTTTGCTTTTTTTATTCAAAAAATTGAAATTCCAGAAAGACAAGTATACAGATAGGAAATTAGAGAAATTCTAAACCCAAAATTTCTTCTCAGTTCTTTAAGTAGGACACCCCTACTTGCCTCCTACCAACCCCTCCCCCCAAAAAAAGAAAAAAAAATACAAACGCTCCTAATGCAATCATTCAGGCAAATTTGTATCAGCCATGACATATGTAGGGCACTGCTCTTCTTGGACTCCTGAGTTCCCAGCACACACTACTGCTTTAAGACGCTGTATTGGACTTAACATGGCAAGGTTTTGGTAACAGCCAGGAGACGGCAGGGGTGACCTCTGTGAGCAGAGCCCAGCAGCTGCCCCATGTCAGAGCAGAGCCAGCTCCAGCTGCTCCAAAAGGGACTTGCTGCTGGCCAGAGCTGAGCCAGGGAGTGATGCTGGGTGGGCCTCTGGGAGAGCAGAGGTAAGGGAGGGGAAAAAAATGCAGTGGAACAGCAGCTGGGAGAGCAAGGAGTAAAACATCCTTGCAGACCCCAAGGCAAGTGCAGAAGGAGGGAGGGCAGGAGGTGCTGCAGGCAGGCAGCAGCAGTTCCCCTGCAGGCTGTGCAGGGAGAGGCCCCTGGTGGAGCAGGCTGTCCCCCTGCAGCCCATGGGTCCCCCATGGAGCAGATCTCCACGCTGCAGCCCCCCCATGGGTGGAGGAGCCCCCGCTGGAGCAGGTGGATGTGGCCTGGAGGAGGCTGCGGCCCATGGAGAGTCCCTGGGCCTAAGAACTGACCACAACCTCCATTAGTCATTTGCCTGCTCTGCTTCAGGAGAAGAGACAATAGGACAGATGGGGTTGAAGGGATGGTACTTTTAGTTCAAGCTGTTCTAGTCTGTTATTAGGAGGCAACAAATTACATGAATCTCCCTTAGGCTGTCTGTTTTGCCTATGATGGTAACTGGCAAATGAGCTCCTATCCTTATGTCAGTCCATGAGCTTTTTTTCCACCATAATTTCTCCTTGTCTTTTTGAGGAGGGGGAATGAGAGAGCAGTATGGTGGAGCTTGTCTATCTACTGGTGTTAAACCACCACAGTCCTAGATAGCTCAAGACAAACTTAAATGGAAATTAATAGAAGGAATGGAGGTTTAAAAAAAAGAAGTGGAAAGCAAAGACAGACTTGGTGCAAGAGAACAGTAATAGTAATGGAAATCTCACATTTTCATGAACATTCATTGTATTGTCAAAACTGGAGGGCAAGGCAACATCAACTACTCACACTCCAGATTTCAGCATGTATTTCCTAGCCTGTTTCCTTCTGCAAGAGCCCCAGTACAACAGACCATTCTCACAACCAACCGGCATGCCAAAAATTTCTTTCCAGTAGCACATCTGCATTTGCCAAATTATCACATGGTATTATCAATACAGATGTATTTTGACTAGGTCATTATGTTTTTACATTTAGCTGACTTATAAGTAGATTTATATAAAAAAGATAAACTTCTTTTACCCATAACAACCGAGTTCACCCTTCTCTATAACAGTTAACATGCAACTTTGTGCCACCAGGTCAGATCTTTAACTTCAAATTGGACAACTTTTGATGACAAATATCTTGCTAAGCTAGAATTTTTAAAGTAAAGCATTATAGTACATTTTACATAGGTCACACTGATCACATGCTCTGACCTAAACATTTGACAAGTCAAGACAAAGCTCTGCAAGTATCATAGTAAGAATTCCCCCCCTCACAGATTTTAGAAAATACTGTTCAAGCAAATCAGCTATTATTCAAGTCAGTCGGAGACATCTATCAGTTTCCTAAATTTAGAAAGCTGCCATTGGATTTTAGCTGCTTAGTCATTTACTAACATTTACAGTGTTAGTTTTGGCATGCAAAGAAAAAGGTAGCAAACCCTTGCCTTTTTTTTTGTGTGTCTGCTTTTAACAGATTAATATAGGCCGTAAGCATTCTGACAGATGTTTGAAGGCAATTCACTACTAGCCTTTGAGCAAAAGGTTGAATTACCTGAAAAGTCTTTTTTATTCTAAGTAAAAGGTCAAAAGTCCTTTCTGAAGCAAAAAACTCTGCACCAAACGTGTTCATCTACTAAACCATCAATCAGAGCTAACACTTAGCATTAACTACAGACTCACCTGAAAGTGTCCAGATCCTTGAACAGAAAATATTAAGTAAACCATGCTGCTGTCCCAGAAAGCTCTATTTAGTTTTCGTTCATTGTTTGGCATTGTAGACCATATACCTTTCTGCTGAGAAATGTCAAGGTTTTGCAAGTTGCTACTTTTCATTATGAAGTACCGAACTGGCATATTTGATCTTGGTGAAGGAGATTGGGAGGCCTGGAAAAAATAAATTTAAATTAATAAAGTAAGTCAGGTTCTACGGTTTTACTTTTAAAGCATTTAAGTACATGAAGATAAAACTTTCAACTGCATTCCTGCCCTCCATTCCCATATTCTGCTAGAAGCACAGAACCTCTGTGGTGGTTCTGCCTGGATTGTTTTTTAAATGAATTTCAGGTCTGTTTTTTACATTTTTGAAGCATTTTCCAAAGCAATCATTCATGAGGAAAAGCAATGAAGTACGGCAGAATATGCCTAAATTGTCCAGTGATTAAATAAACTTATTTGAAGTTTGACACATCTTCAGGTGAAGCTAAGCTGCAGTCTAGAAGAATTAACTTTAAGTACACTACTTATAATTCTGCCTTCAGGAAACACTCTTTTACACTGGCTGAATTTAAAAATTGAAAGACCTAAGAGAAATTATTAAATCTTCCAATAAGTCACTGCCTAGGGGAACAGCAGGTTTTCTTCTTAGTTATTGGTTTAATATTACTTTGGTTTATTAAGTACACAGGGAGAATTACACCAGTGACTTCAAAAAAAATGCATGCTTTGTTAAAATAATTGTCATTAAATAAGTAAGGCAGGTAACACAAAAAAAAAAAAGAGAATCAGTATCTCAGCGTATGCTATTATGAAAACAGAGGTGTGAAAACACAAGAAGCAAATTCAAAAGTGTACTAATTCTTTCAGATCTGTATTATAAACACTAATTCAGAGTAGAAATGAGAACACCTTATCTGCCTATTATATGTAGTTTTTAAAAAATCATTTTTATTTAGATAGCTTTACTTCAGCTTTTATATTTTGGATAGCTTTTAACTCAGCACTGTACAAAGAAGAACATTTTTTGCTTACTAAACTAGCATAATGAGGATATTTAGTCTAGGTTTTAGGTTCTAAAAGTTAATGTTACACAGCTGTTAAAAAAATGAAAATCTAAGTTCTACAACGTTGTTGAAAAGTATCAGTGAATTTATTTTTGAAGTTCTGCTGGTATCAGAGGGGGATAATTTATGAGAACTCTACCTTTCCAGATGTTGTTGAAGAAGGACTAGCACATGGGCTAGGATAGCTACTACTGTCTGTAGACCTCGCTGATGATTGATCTGACCTGTCATCTGATGTTCGTTTGGAGTGCGAAGTGTTTTTTTTGTTGTATTTCTTTGGCTGGAATTCTGGAGGCATAGATTTCATTAAAATTCTAAAAAGTAAAGGAGGGTACAGGATGTTTTAAGATACAAGAGTTTGATACAGAAAAGTTTACATGTACATATCAGAGTTTTCCATGAATATGCAATTACTGTAATTCTAAACAATATCAAACACTTTAATAATAATTTATACATGTATTTATGCATTTGTTTTGCATGCTAGGGTCAAACCTTCTCTTCTGATACTTCTTCCCAGAGAACACAGTTCATGAACAACATTCCTGAATGTCCTCTCAAACAGCATGCATACATACCAAATACTTACCAGTGAAATCATAGCTACAGTATACTACAGGAAAGTACCAGTTTTTCCATCTATACTGCCATTTTTTTCTTCCTTTATGTGACTAGCAGAAATTCAAGTGATGCTTTTACAGATAAAAAAAATATTGCTTATGTTGTCTAGAAGATCTCAATAGCTTACTTTTCAGCATTAGAGGAGTCATCAGGCAATTCAGTTTCTGCTGAGCTATTTCTACTGCTGGTTGACCTCCATGCAGATGCTAAAGGAAGTTCTTCAGAAGACATAGGCCTTGGCCTCTGACCAATTCCTGAAGGCTGCTGCAAACCTGCAGCCTGTTCTTCAGTACTTAAAACAGTTATGATTGCTTTTATTATCGTTTCATCAATTTGAGACCACGGTTTAGAAGGAGCTCGCATACGACGCAGAAATAAGCTATGCCACTTCTGTCTGAGTTGCAACAGCAAACAAGCAACCTGTAATGAATTTCAATTCTGTTAAAGACTAATGAAAGTTAAATCAGACAAGTAGATTCAGACTTATTATTCAGCATCTGGCATTCTAGAACAAGTGGAGTCCAAGCCAAAGGGCAAGACTAAACTGTAGGGGAAGCCGGAGAAAAACAAACATTTAAAGAAAGCTGCTAAGTGCTTTAAGGTCATTATTAGAACCTTTTATTTCAACTAGCTCTGCACCAAATTCAAGTTATTATACAGTAAACTTACAGGACTTATTTTTCACTTTAAGTCATGAAATGCTTTATGCCTTTTCTCTCCACCCAGTCTGAATGTATGTATGCTTCATATAAGAGGGAGAAGAGCTTAGTTCTAGGGGACATCACTTTCTTATGCAAACTTTAGCTCAAAGGAGGTTAACTGAGCTTAGAAGACTCTAATCCAACTTCCATGTTATCAAAGTTTTGAACATCTACAAGAGACAGTATTATTATTGGATCTGATTACTCAGTGTTTCATAAACAACTCTGCTTCCTAAAACAGCCAGAGCTTCTCTACACGTTACTTACCTCAGAGTCCAGTTTGAGATGAAGCCATTCATCTAGCTTCAGTAACGCTGAATTAGAATTTGCTTCATCCTCCAGCTCACTATCACTGTTCTCATTGGATACCCCATCCCCTGGATTAAATTAGTGTATATAAGGTACATTAACATACCTAGGTACATTCCTATATATTTTCTACTTACAAAAAATACTCACTATTGTATTACCTGAAATAAACCTACCTTCCTGCTCAATTTTACTCCACTTGATACTATTTCACCTACTTTTCAAAGAAACATTTTAAGATCACTTATTTCATGCAAATACATCGCCGTAACAAGTCTGTTGGGCTGCTTTTGTTTCAGTAGCAGAACTCCAGCATCTAGACCTGCTGAGGGTCCTGCTATATAAGCAGCTGTATTGACATAATTTGACTCAACCCACATAATGATTCGTTGATGTTGATAATGGTTACCACACAAACCTTTGCTTGAAGCTGTTTGCAAAACTGCACATCACTCTGTGCATTACTTTCTAGTGAAACAGCAGATTAAAGACCCAAATAAAAAAATAGTTATATAGATATTAGGAATTATTATTATTTCTTGGGGAAAAACATTGCAATTCAATCAGGATAAATACCTTTTTTAAATAAAAAAAACAGATAACAGTTAATTCAATTCAAAAACAAAAAAAAGCAATTCAATCAGGATAAATACCTTTTTTAAATAAAAAAAACAGATAACAGTTAAAGAACAAGACAAGAAAACTTCTAACAAACTCTTATTTTGATTCAAACTAGTATTTATAGAGAACAGGCAGCAGGACCAATTATTTCTGCTTCTATCCCTACAGCATTCCACTTAAATTTAAAAAAAAAAAAGAATGAAACTTCTTTGTATTCCCAATTACTTCTAGCTACTAGGATAGCCAATTGTTTTTAAAAGTTATCAGTAGAATAAAACTGATAATGTTTAAAATAAATGTTTCGGCTAGAAGCCATATATATTTTGCCATACCAATAGTTTCTAAATTGTTTGAGTTTGAGTAATCTGGTTTACACTCTCAGAGAAAGTGATCTGTAGGAGAAAAAACGTATATACTGTATTTTCAGTACTAATACTGCCATTACACGTTTCATAGTATTAGTTGCATTTTTTATTTCATTACTAACTATAATTTGTGATTCTTCAGAACTATGTGAGTATAATTTATGGATATGAACCATTAATATTCATATACATTAATTTAAGTGATGTAATATTGGTTGCATCTTCCTTGGGGGGAAAAAATAAAAGTTGCTACTGGTTGCTCTAGAAATATTACAAAAAAGTTCTAAGTTGTTCTCAAAATTTGACACCTATCTTCAAACTAAGTACTAGCACATCAAAGCACCCTCTGTGGAAATTACAGCCTTTCCCAACACCTCATACAATTTCGTTCCAGTCAAAAAATGCTTAACATCACCTTAAAGATAAGTCTCGTGTTGGTCCTGCCTTCAGAGTGACCAGACTTCTACGACTGGACTTGCCACCTAGACTTTAAGTACTGCAGGGGGGGGGCATGAGGAGCAAAGAGCAAAGGAACTGCTAGCAACTCCTACAAATCTATGTTGAAGTACTACAGACGTAGTTCAGAGCAGCTTTCAATCACTTTTAAAGCTTGTTATACAACTTGATTTAGGGAAAAAGTAGGATATACTAAATGAGAATCTCTGTATGGTTGTGTCCATTATCCTAGTGTTTACAAAGAGGTTAATTCCATACCATACCAGGTCTACAGTCACCCAGTTACTGTCGTAAAAACGCCTATCTTGATTAGGATAGTTCATGCCTCAAGGAGACAGTAGTCATTCTGACCTACCCTCAGTGTTTCTTCTAAATTTATTTCAGACATTTTTTGGCAGATTCTCAAGTTATATTCTACAGACTCTACCCTTCTTTTTAATTTCAAGAACTGCAAAACTGAAAGTAGTTTAGAATTAATTATAAATTCTGTTATTACAAATTAGTTGAAATAGCATTATAATCTTATTCATCAAGTTGTAAGTCAGAAGGGATTTCCTCAACTTTAAAATAAGGTCATTTCAGTCCAGACAACATTCAGTGGTATAGCCTTTTCTCCCTCATTTAAGTTCTCTAATATTTGAAGGCTTGTGACAATCTTCTATAAATCTAGTTCTCTACTTCTCCTAACACAATAGGCTGCTGAAGTGCTCTTAGATTAGTATAAAATACAAGTAATTATTCAAATACTTTCTGGAACTTCAGCAATTCCTTTGCTCACAACCCCTTTTTCTGGTTCTGTCCAGTAAGGACACAGGTATTTTGTATGGTATGTTTTCACAAACAGATAAAATAGTAAGAGGAGAAGGGAACCTCTGTTATTCTTCAATTGCCTTATGCCAGGGAAGCCTGAAACTTCTGCCTTAATGCACAGACAGTATCCAAATCACCCAGCTATGGCTCACGTTACAAACATGGGGAAAAAGAAAACAATACTTGATAAAGTAATTTTTCAGGAATGATGGCTGTTGATGGAATGTAGGTATAACATGGAACTGGAGTTTTCCTAGCGTGATCAATTAACAGCTGCTAAAAAAAACAACTCTTTACTGAGAATAGCTCTTACTGTAGATTAAGAATGTAGATCACAATCCCTGCAACAAATTTCATAATCCTTACATATAGCAGAATATTAGAATACAAGGTCAGGGATTGACAGTACAATGAAGAATTAAGTTCCTTATCTTCTATTTTTCATTACTTATTATACCAACAGTAAAAAGTTGCATTTAATGAAATCAAAATGTAGCACTTCGTAAATGTTTTTGTTTTGTTTTTTAGAAGAAGAAGAACATTAAGCTAGAAAATTTCTTGTGCGTAACTGAGCCATTATTTACAGAGCCAGTAAGCTATTCTGGAACAGCTATAGGAACCATAGCTCTGTAGCTTAAAGAATTAGCCAATACACGTACTAAATACCCTTGTGAAATAAGCCTTCCATATCACATTCTAATATGTAATAAATTGAAACATTACAAATCTGAAACCCAATATACCTCGAAGCAATGAAGGCTCCTGCAAAGCGTTACGTGGTAACCTAGCTGGTCCACAGAAGAGTGCCACAGTGACAGATGTTACAACTGAACAACATCTGATATTTGCTATCCTGTGAGCTCTTGTCATTTCATCATATATAAGCCAGTCTGTGGGGAGTGCCTGAACAGCTGCAGCTTGCCCGTTCGCTGGTGGAATCTGCACAGAAGCAATCAAGACTAGGCTGTTTTACCCTCTGTTTGTAACTGAAATAAGTTTTAACATTTCTCATTTGATAGATATATATATATATGTAAAAATACAAACAGATACACACACACAAAATTCAATTTTACTTAGAAAGAACATCCACCTTTAAAGCCAAATATTTTGCTTCAAGCATCTAAAAATTCAAGTTTCAGAGCAGAACTGCTTACTACTATGAGCAGAGATCACTGTCTTTTACACGAGTTCATAACTAGGGCTTTAGTCTTTTTTTTCATATTGTCTTGTTCCACCTAGAAGGATTATTCCTTCTGAATTAATTTTGGATGAAATATTGTAAAACTAAACCAACTCTAATTCTTTGTTTTATCAACCAGCAGGAAAAATATTTCCTAAAATTCTAATGTCTAATAACTGCCACACACGCTACTTTTAAAAGTACAGCTATGAAAGGACATTTCTAAAACTTTCATAAATTTGATAGAATATCTTTGAATCTGTACTTGACAAAAGACTGTAAGGGATTTTACCTTTTTATACTGAGTCTGATTAAGAACAGAGGTAGGATGAAAACGCACTTTCTTCTCTTTTGGTCCCGTCAAAACCAGGTTTCCCCTGTCCACATGTACTAGATTGGGATACATCCCAGCCACCAAGGCAGCTTTAACTACAGCCCAGTTTTCAGAGTTAGTGTTAACATCTCTGATATCAGCTCCTCCTCGGGCTCTGACAAAACCTGAATGAGGAAGAAGACAGATGTAATACACACATTCGTAGTTTTGTTTCTCACTGCATTTTTCTTGCTGCATTTTTCACACTGCCAAACTTAACAGCACCAAGCAGAAACTATTCGACCAAAATCCTTCTTGATAAGGTGCTTTGTACTAACTCAAAAAGCAATTAGTTCTTAAAGCACAGAAACATCTAATACAGATATAAATTAACATAACATAAAAATTCAAGAAAACATCTCTCATATGAAAGTCATATTTCATGTGAAAGCCAGCATAATGCAGAACTACAAGAGTACTTTCAGTAAGATTAGCATCTGCTTCTGTTTTTCAGCAACACCTCCTCTCTTGGGTATCTCCACCATTACCAGAATGGATGTGTACTGGTCTGTTTCAAATTAGCAAAGGACACCTGTGAATGTTATTCTTGTTATAATCCATATGCATTTACTCTATTTTGGAGTCAGAGGCTGCATTAAAAAAAATTCTGAGCTACTTACCTGAAGCTCTAAGCTGACCAAGCAATTGTGTTCTCATTCCTATGATGATTTCCATGGTGGCCTGAGAAAGAAAGTTCTTTTCACAGAAGGTTCTCTCCCAGCCATCACTCCGTGCCTTCTGCCATGCCTGTAAAGAGTATTTTTACATTTGCCTTTAGATTTGGTTAGCTAAAAACAACAACAAAAAATTTACTTTTCAAGTACAGTAACATTTACCCAGAAAAACAAAGACAAAACAATTCTCAAACTGAAATGCATCAAATCAGTTTTTTTTTTCTCGTTAATGTAAAGAGAATTTAGTAGTTAAGTTAATTGGGTATCTCCAAGTTATTTTATATCCTGTTACAATAACAGGAAGTCTCATTTTGTTAGAACCATTAGAATTTAGATTAAAAATATAAATTAAAAAGCTGAAAATGTTCCTCACAAAGTTACTAGTGAGTTTAACAATCAGAACAGCCACTAGGTGAAAAAAAATGTTTTTAAGTTTATTATCTAACAACTTACTCACAATCTATCACTCTACATTCAACTTTATAGGCACATTTTTTACTTCAGTACATGATCTATGGTGATTACTGTTCTGAAGAAGAAATAATACCTGGAAAGCCCTGAGAAGTGCCATATGGTCACTAAACGTTCCTGCAGTTAAACGTTTTCTGCACAGCAAAGCTGCACGCTTCTGAGAGGCCAGTGTAGGTAGGACAAAAGGGTCCCGATATGCAAGAGTACAAGCAATAGTAAGAATGGGATCCAGGCACTTCAAAACAACAGCACACAGCACCATTTTACCAAGGTGTGGCTCTACTGGTAATTCAGCAAGATGATAACCAAGTTCAGTGAGGTCCTCCCAAGGATCCATAGCATCTATTGTCTGTTTGAAGAGAAAAAAACAGAGGGTGAAAGGGGAAGCAGACAAAATTAATTTCCAATAAAAGCAGAAAGAAGGTGCATACAGGACATTAACTAGACTTGTTCCGAATACTAAGAATACAAGTCAAACTCCGTGTGAAGTTTGAGATGAATTTAAGCATTCTTTTCCTTCGATATTAAAACATCCATCCACACAAACAAAAACAGAAACAAAACCACAGTAAACATGAAACTCAGTAAGATATACTGCCACACCACAAACATAGAAACAAATACAATTCCATCTAAATCTATACTTCTGCTGACCTTAAGCATTTGCACAGCATTTCTCACAATTAAAGCCGGTGGAGGATCAGGAGCTTTCATAAGGAAGTCAACAATTGGACAATTAATTGGAGCCAGCAGTTTTGTGTGTAAACAAAGCTCCTACAAGTTAGAAACATAAAAAAAGAAAATTTAGATTGTATGAAACCAACTCTTGTAATTGGTAGTACAGTTTGATAATACATTTTTTAAAGTTATAAATTATAACTGAACAAGCACCTGAAGTGGCATTCGTAGAAGTTCTGGAGTCTGAAATTCCAACATATTCTGAAATCTGAGCCTGCTGAAGAGACGGAAGCAGACTCCAGGCCGACAGCGCCCAGCCCTTGAAAATAAAATATGGGAAGTTGTTAATAATTACATCTTTTAAAAAAATAAATCACAAAAATCACACACATCCATAAACAACACAAACTTAGAACAGGAATTGTCTGTAGAAGCAGTTCTAATAAAAAGATAATTCTGTTAATCCTAATTCTCACATATAAAGTGAGAGTCTTTCAGAAAGTAGACTGGTTTTGAGTATGGAAATTCGTTACTATAATTTTATGCCAACACTGAAAGACTTGGGGAGAAAAAAACAAGGCCTAAACAAAGTGATGAGTGTTGGTTTTTGTTGTTGTTTGTGGTTTTGTTGTTGTTGTGGTTTTGTTTTGTTTTTATAATAATCTAAGATCAATCCAAATATTACTGTTTTAGCTATAAAGAATATAAGTGGCAAACTTCATTTCTTCTTCTCTTAAACCTCCTTAGAACCCCCAAGAGCTGTAAGTTTTTCCAGGAGTAAAAGGTAGAACCAAGACCAAACTACTTAAAAATGAGGGGACAAAGAAAGCAAATTCTTACATGCACACTAAGATTCCTGAAAGCTAATGCCAATATTATAGCAGCAAACACTGGTATTTGTTGCTACACTTAGCCGTCACCCAGTGTCGACAAGAATGACAGTCCTGTAAAGTCAGAAATAGTTTGGAAAAAGTAAGTAAGAAATCACTGTTCAATGTCTCTTCTAACGTAGGGATGAAGGGGCATCAAGCAAAAACTCGTAGGCAGCCCTTTGCCCAGAGGTAATACAGGTAAGTTGTGAAATACCTAACAGGGTACAGTGGGTGCTGGTAGCGAACAGTTTCATGGGGGAAAAAAAAACAAAAAACAAGCCTACTGTAAGTTCTGGGAAATTCCTAAGTCACATTTTTCTCAGACTTGGGGAAGTTACTCCAAGGAACTACATGCTGACCCTTACTTTTCTTCAGAGACTTACTGGCCATGGTCAAACTTTATACTGGACTAACCTAGTAATGTTACCCAGTGTGGCTCCCCTTAGATTGTGTACTTTATCCTTACCATACAGGATGGTGGATGTTTGCATGGTAAAAACCAGCATGAAACATTTATTACCTGCCTTTTCTCTGGATGGCACTAGCTTTTGAAATCCACACAGTTTTTAGCATTGTAACACAACTCAGTGCATCAAAAGATTTCTACAAAAGAAAAGGAAAATAAAATCGAGATTTAACAGAGTACATAAAATAAAAATTATTAATGATTTCAATCATCAATAGAAGATCTGTAAAAAATAATATTAAGTACCAACATTTTTGGCACAAAGTCATGTTCTAAAGGACTTACTCAGAAGTGAAGTTATGCTACCTCGTTTGCAGTATCTTTGCACTACACAGTTTTCTAAATCAGAAGTTTTCTACTCAATGGTGTTAATCAATAAGTGCTATGAGTTGTGTTTTGCAGTATGACAAAGCAAAAATGTTATTATACGCAATAAAGTTTTACTCTTGGAAATGATGTCCCACTTTCCCTGCATTTGGTGCAAAAATACAAAACAATTGTAGTACCATCAGAACTTGATAAATTTGGTGTGTATATCTCCCATGAAATTACTGTAAGTTCTCATGTTTCTCACATAAGTAATTAGTATGGCATTCAATGTATCAAAAAACTGTCTGAAAACTTTGCACTAGATTAGAACTGGCCTAGACAGAATAACATGACAGAGGGAACTCCCAGTGTTGTTTAACTCTCAGGAAGATGGGGTTCTAAGCTGATAGACTTTCTTTGAAAATCAAACAGAAGCGCTAAGTTTTTTTCACATACAGTAGCCTGCAGTAACTTTTCCAGCATTTTTAAACATTTGTTTACAGTACTTGTCATAAAGAAAAAGGATGCCAGAACTTCACAGTGAGTTTTGTTACTTGACATCTGCTAGCTCTCAAAAATTAATTTCTCCAAAATTTATTTAAAAATACTAATATACCATAAATCTTAAAAATTTTACTTCCCAAAGAAAGTTTAAGTCAATCATACCTCTTTCATCTTGCCGGAGTCAATAACAAATACAACGTCATTAACTGTGATGCTGGTTTCTGCAATATTAGTAGAAAGAATCTGCAAGTAAGAAAAAGACTATAGTAACTGTAAAAGACTACATAGATCAATATAGTATGTGAAGAAGTCATCTGATACTTGCTATTTTGCGAATACCAGAAGGTGGACTTCTAAGCACTTTCTTCTGATCCAAAGTCTGCATATTTGAATGAAGCATGAAAACTTGATATCTAATAAATGACAAGGAGTACTTTTTAAGGATCTTTAAAAGAAACAATAAAAACCTCAATAGAATCATTGAAATAAAACATTTTACCTGTGAGCATTGTCAGCAAATCTCTTGTCATCAAAAAGAATACGGTCCCTCAAGCTAACTATCTCATCATAGCCAGGAAGAAATATTAGAATTGCTCCTACAAAAAGAGGTGATTTATGGAGTTAAAGAACAAATTCACTTCAAATATATGAAAATACACTTCAGTAACATACATACAACTACCCAGAAGGTTTTTGGTATTACTGCAAAACAAGAGCACAAATAATCAGAAACTGAATCCACAGCAGTTATATAGGACTGTGTATATATACTTACCACTATCTGAAGTGTGACAGATGTTATAAAGTATGTGCATGATCAGGTCCAGATCCACCTTTTCATCATCAAAACTGTGATGATAAGCTTTCAACAATTCTCTGTCCTCTGCTTCAAGGTCATTACCACTTGACTGAACAAGGGAACTTTCATCCAGATTTCCAAATTCTACTGATGCACTAAAACATACAAGTATAGGCCAGGGTCAAGGTTGTTTACTTCAAGTTTGCATTCAGCCATCAATTCAAATTTAGATCCAGACTAAGATGACTACCTGTATCCAATGTTTAAACTTAAAGTGCAGAAGAACAGCATGTCCACAATACTATTACTGTTGACTGACTTACGTGCTAACCTTGCAGAGCATGCAATTCTCATTTTTAGCATTAGAGTTATTGTACTTCACTGAAACGTGACCCAAAAAAAATGGAGGTTACATAGTTTGTTTTATGTGCTAAAGGGAAAACATTTAGAAGAACATGTCTTCCAAAAACTTCCCTACCATGAAACTTAAGTAGTAAGGACACTAAGAAACTACACAAAGACAAATTATAACAACATAGGTCTACAGAACTGTAACTATTTCCTGTGAGTTAAACATCAAACAGTTCTTTAATGTACTGGCCTACATGTTACCTGCATACAATGTTTCTTTAAACATGGGTATATCATGTATCAACATTGCACAGAAAAAGAGAGGATGCCATTCGCACCATTTTCATTTAAGATGCTTATTTTGAAAGCATGGTATAGCATCAGTACCTCCTCCATATTTATGTAACTTACTATAATCACATCAAGCCTAGATACTGACATTCCTGTTGTGTTATAACATGACAGTAAAGGCTAATGATATAAGAAAGCTCCTATACCATTAGAACTATATTTATCCCAGGAGTTGTGCAAACATAATCACTAAAAAAAGTTTCTGTTCAGCATCATAAACAACATATTTTCAGAATGCTTCTACTCTCAAACAAATCCCTCTAGGCCAAATTCTAGAGTACACAAAACTGTTCTGATTAAAATGTGGCAAAACATAAACAAACATCCATATACCAAGTTAAACAACTGTTTTTGCAAAGTAGTTATAGCTTACCTGTAGGATTCCAACAGGTCAACAACCTCCGTCTGCCCAAAGTGCTTAGCCCAGTCCAGAGCCATCCTTAAAGAGTTGCATAATGGTCTTTATTATTTTCTCTTCACAAGATACATATGAGTAGCACCTTAAGTGAGAAGACAACTGACATGCTGCACTGCACTGTTCTATCATTTCTGCATTACCACTTAAGCAGTGTCATTACTGCTGGATTAGCAACTTGTAAAAACATGTATAATAAGTAGTTTCACAGTTTTTATATAGCTGCAATTCTTTACCAAGTAAAACTGGTATCTCTACACAGAAGTACCTGCAAAGGGAAAGGAGTGGGAAGAATGGCTTGTGTTTTTTAAAGGAGTGTCACAATGTGCACAGCTAAACTAAGCCTTTTTATAGCAATCTTTTACCTGGTCCTTTAAATAATCCTGAGAAGTCATACCCCAAGTGTTTTTCTCCATAATGCATAAAACTACTGGGTTCTGATTCCTTGTGGAAGTCATCCTACTCACAATGCAGTTCATTCTGTTTTCCTTTTAAACTGAAGAACTTGGGAAGGAATGCAAAGATCAGCACTCTGGAATCCCTATTCTTATCCTTCTACACTACAGTGATTTATAGTAGTTCCCATTTACTCAAAGATAGATTTATAGTCACCAAAATCTAATTTATTTATTTATTTATTTTAAGAGATTAACAGGGATTGTCCTACCCAACAGAACATACTTGCAGCTGTAACACTGCAAAGATCTTTGCACCTGCAGGAGAATTTTTTTTTTTTTAATCCAGTATAGTTAACTCTCTTATCATTTGAACCACCAAACATTTGGGGTCTAATTCAATCAACCAAGTGAGGAAACATTCCTAACTTTTCCTAGCAGTAGGTCAAATCAGGTTCCTTGAAAGCAGGAGAATAGTACATCCTGTATTCAAGGCCATTTAATTGAGAATTTAATTTAGAATTTACAGAAAAAAATGTAATAGAACAGAAATTAGAAATTGTTTAGTCTGTCAAAACTCATTACCACTTATGTTATTATACCACAATATCCTGATAAATTAGTAAATTAAGAGTTCTGTTATGTTTTCTAGGTTTTATCATTTTTATATTGAGATACAAGTTGGTGGTTTGTTTTTTTTCAGTTTATCTGTTTGTTTTTACCAGCCATTGGATGATTTGCAGTGGATACTTGCTCCCATGCTAATCAGTTGTTCTACTTGACTCAGGAAGCCTCTCCCTGATGCAATCATTAGTGCAGTTGCACTGGTTTCACTGTGCCTATAATCAACTGAGAAGTAAAAAATTAGCAAAAAATTACAAATTTTTTCTTCTAAGCAAAATATGAATATGACTTTCAAAACCCAGCCCAACGAGAGTTTATTTATTCACTTCATCCTATCAGCCAATTCATGTAAATTTAGAATGTTTCTAAAACAATAATAACATATATATCAATACTTCAAAATGAGCATGATAACAAATAAGTGCACAACTGATTAACTCTGCTAGACATATTCATTTTTTTTGAATAAGCATCAGTATTCAAAAATAACATTTGAGAATTGAGATAACAAAATCACAGAAAATCAAGTCATTTTATGGTTGTTTTTTTCTTGAGAAACAAAATAAGCAGAAGCAACTTACCACTAACATTTTCAGTTAAAATTAAATGGAACACCTGAGCAAAGGAATCAATATCTTTATGCAACCAGATGTCAGAAAGACAAGAATCCATTTCCTTTATTAGCCATGGTTCAAGACAATTTGCATCTTTTTCAGTCTGAAGAAATAAAAAGACAAAAAAAAGAATTAAAATGATGAATCCCTTTAAAAAGTTCTTTAAGTTCTTTTGTCTTTATACTCACATATGAATTACTAAGTATTCTGTCTTTTTTTTTTTTTTTTTTGAGAATCAACAAGAAATATAGTATTCAGTGATCAGTAAAAGTATTTGAAGTATCATATGCAAGTACTGAAAACACTATCACTCTATTTACTCTATCTAAAAAAACATATAAAATCACCATAATGGAAAAGCATACTTTGGTTATCTTCTAGAATAGCTCATGCTAATAAAGAGAAAAAACAAGTAACAATGTCCTTCTAGAATCTCTCCAGGAATAATATCACAGAATGGTTTGGGTTGGAAGGGACCTTAAAGACCATTCAGTTCCAGTCCCTCTAACTCTCAGCAGACCAGGCTCCCCAAAGCCCCATCCAGCCTGGCCTTGCAAGTGCACATTGCCAGCTCATGTTGAGCTTCTCACCTACCAGCACCCCCAGGTTCTTCTCCTCAGGGCTGTTCTCAACCCATTCTCTGCCCAGCCTTGGGAATTGCCCCAACTCAGATGCAGGACCTTGCACTTGGTCTTGTTGAACTTCGTGAGGTTCGCACAGGCCCTCACAAGCCTGTCCAGATCCCACTGAACAGCATCCCTTCCCTCCAATGTTAACTGCACCACACAGCATAGTGTCATCAGCATCATTCAATCCCACTGTCCACGTCACCAACAAAGATATTAAATAATACTTGTTCTTAATTCACTGACAGGTCCATCCATCAGATCCATGTCTCTCCATTTCAGAGACAAGGATGTCATGTGGGACAGTCTCCAATGCTTTGCACAAACCCAGGCAGATGACATCACATACTCCTCCCTTTATTCACTAAATGTTTCAACCTCATTGTAGGACACCAGATTTGCCAGGCAACCAACGTCTGCCCTTAGGGAAGCCATTCTGGCTGTAACCAATCACATCTGTTTTCCATGTCCCATAACATAGTTTCCAGTAGGATCTGCTCCATGATCTTGCCAGGTACAGCAGTGAGACTGACAGGCCTGCAGCTTCCCAGGCCTTCCTTCTTTCCCTTTTAAAAAGTGAGAGTTATGTTTCCCCTTTTCAAGTTACCGGGAACTCTACCAGACTGCCATGACTTTTCAAAGAGTAATGTCTTAGCGATTTCATCTCGCAGTTTCCTCATGACCCTTGTATGCCACATACCAGATCCCATGGACTTGAGCACACTCAGGTTCCTTAGATGGTTTCAGACACGATCTTCTCCTACAGTGAATGGTACTTGATTCTCCCACTACCTTTATAAAACAGTTTTTAAATGGAGAACTATACTACAAATTTAAAACATCTCTTCCAATAAATGGAAAAACTTACCAGTTGATTAAATACTGTGTCACCCACATCATCCATCAGATTATACTCTTCAGATAGATTTGGAACAGATCTTTGTCTCTGAGATTCTGTCTTGCTACTATCTTCTTGAGCAGAATACCACTCAGTAAGAGTGCTTTGCTGTTTTACTTCTAGAAGGTGTAAGATATTTCCAAAAGAGGTTTTACAATCATTTTAATTATCCATGGGTTTTGGTTATAAAATATAGTTACATCAAGTCATGAAGTTTTACCTACTGCATTCTCTTTTATTCAATCAAGAATGCTGGTACCAGTTCAATATAAGTTCTGTGATTAATGGCACCCAAAGTGTACTATTTTAAATGTCTGCTCTAAGAATAAGGTAAAAAAAAAATCATTTGGGTGTTACAGGTAAGCCATCAGTATTCCAACTCAACTGCATTCAACAGAGTTTCAACGGAGTTCTCTATCTACACAATTATGTCCAATTTTTCTTCAGAACAGAAAAAACAGAGAAAAGTGAAATAGCTCCTACATGTAACAACTACTTTTTGCATGCAAAAAGAAGAAATAGTAAAGGATACTCTTCTAAGTGAACTTTGCTATCCATTGGGATTGAAGCTGAGCAACACAAATACAAAGTTCAGATTGTATGTTACAGATTCACGTTTTGTTTTGTTTTTTTCTAAAGACACTGGAATCATTAAGTTGTTAGGAAAACTTTTCTCAAAAAATATATCTACTTAATATAATTGTCTTAAAATTCATTAAGTTCAAGTCAGATAATGTCTCTGGGTTAATATTTATTAAATATACCCATGCATGAAGAAAGCAGTAAAAATATGAACCATTTCTTTGGAAGATATAATGGCAGTCATTAAAGAGTGCAGGACTTTTTAAATTTATACCCCAAAGAATCAACATACTGTCTTTTGCTTCTGTATTCTACATGCAATTCTATATCATAACATTTAGGAAAAATAAAACATCTAAAAACTGAAAGCCAGAAGAACAGAACTATTGAAAGAAAGTTAGAGGGTTTTTTTAATCAGTAACAAACACTAGGAGGTTAAAGATAGTAACTGTTATCTAATCCTGCCTTACTTAATATCCCAGCTTTGGAACTTTAACACATCAAATCATCCTATTCAATAGTTGAAACACTCAGCCTCATTGCCCACTCTCACAATTAAGATGTATACCAACCTCGCTGTTTCTCCTTTTTGTACTTTGACATCTCTTTGTTTGTATATCCAGTGCTTCGTAAAATGTCCTCTAAAAACATCTCTTTAACTTCAAAAGGCCTTCCTTGTACTGAAAATACAGATAATTCATAAAGTATTAAGTACTGTCTAGTTTCATTGACAATCTTAATCGAACAAGTGTTTTTGTAAACATTAAAAGTCAATTAAAAATTATAAGGACCTGGTTTAAGGAATTATTACTTTTCTTGACAAATTCTGTAAGACTATCTTCACCAGGAGTTTGCTTTCTTAAGATTACTGAGCCACAAAACAAAACAAGATTTAAAATGGGAATGTCAGCTGGGTACATTGTTTTTCATTAACCTCTTTGATCCTATCAAAGCATTAAAATATATGCATTTGACAGCTTATTCATTGCAATTTTATCAAATCGAGAAAAAGAAAATAACCTTTTTCCATTTAGTGTTGAAGAATTCACTGTGTAAGACTGCCACCTGAATTACAGGCATAGCAGTAATGTAGCTCTAGCGCAAGATCCCACAAGAAGGTTGTCATTTTGTATTGAAATTTTTTTCCCCCCAAGAAATATGAGATGTACTTCTTCCCTCAATTTCTTTAATCACTTCAGCCTTTTTTTTGCTGAGTAAGTTGTAACAAGTGAGATATTCCAAACGGTCTTCATCTCCTAATAATCTACCCTGATTTCTTTTTCAATATCACCATTTTCTAGATCGTTCTAACAGACATGAAAGGATACTTTTTCAAAGGAAATTCTCTAGATTTTAGTTTCTGCTCCCTTAACAGACATCTGCCATAGTCAAGTTTCAGTTAACCAAAACTTCTCTCTTCTTCAGAAAGAACCAGCTTGAACGTATTTTTAAAAGCCGTCAGGGAGAAGGCCTCTAACACTGATCACAAACTGTGTGGCTGTGGGTTCCTGTTGTATGCAAAGTGCTGGTAGCCGTGGTCAGGGTTTTATAGTCTACATCACTGAAGGAGGATCAAATCTTTTTTTTTTTTTTTTTTATGACCTTAACAGATACATTATCTAAATAACTGCCCTCTTCTTTTAAATTCTCAAAAATGCAAAAAGCAAAGTATCTTAAATTGTGATTGGCCTGTGTAGACTAGTAGTATGTAGTCAAAGTATAACCACTGCGGTAAACAAAAGAGAGATATCTATTTTCTGCATAAATATATTGATATAAATTAACAGGATGCTGCAAGAAGAGTAAACTGGAAAACCACACAACATAATTGAGGTTTCTTCCGAAAAACATTTCGATGATAGTGAAATCACATGTAATTTCTAGATTCCTGCCTCCAAGAAGTTGCACCCTGGAAGTCAGTACATTTAGAACTTCTCCTTTGCTTCAACTGAACAACACAATAGGGCACTCCTGCACTTACCATACCCCCTGTGATAAAATATTTCATTCTGAAATGGCTGCAAAAAGTTTTTAAAAAGGGCAAAACAAAATAAAAGGACAAACATTTTTCTAACTCTCACTCAGTGTTCATGTTCCCTTGCTCAGAATGCTCTGCTATGGTCTGTATAGAATTCATAGGTCTGTAAGACCTATAAATTCTAGGCAGGTATACTCAAGTTTCAGTTTACAAAAATACTTACTGTGTATTACGGGGCAACTTCCAAAATACCTAATAAAGAGATTCGCATCTAGAGCAGCACTAGAAATGATTAGTTTTAAATTACTCTGTTTCTGCAATACATCTCTCAGTTTTATTAACAAGAAGTCACTGAATCTATCCCTCTCATGTACTTCATCCTAAAACAAAAGAAAAAGAAACCAACAGATAAACACCACAGATCTAAGATTATAACCTTTCACAAATATGAACTTCTTGAATGAAAACATATAATTCATTTGTACATTAATGATACATTAAAATGTAGTATTCTAAATAGTTTATCTAAGGATTTTTTTTAAAAAGTATCCAGAAGTCGAAAACTTTTCCAAAGTTTCACAACAGTATCAGAACAGATTGTGCTGTTAATGTATAAGCCACAGACAGCTTGATTTCAGAAGCTAAAGTGAACTTCTGAAACTCTTCTATTTTAATGAATCTCATCTCCAAGATCCTGACAAGAACTACTGTTCCTACGTCTTATTTTAATACACTCTCACTTCAGAATTTATGAGCATTTGAAGAAATATATACCACACAACCAGAAAAATTGATTAAGTCATGTAGAAAACACGAATTAAGGTATACAGCTGATTAAAGTTATAATTGTCAGTTTTTCTTCCTATTTTCTTCCACATTATTAATTTATCTTCTACATTATTAATTTATCAAGCAGGAACCCAAACACAACATTTTGAAGCTGAAGTCAAAATTATATAAAACATTCTCATGCTTCCATTAAACAGGCAAGTACATAGAATTATTTTTATTTTTTCCCATTTTCAGAAATAGAGAAAAATCTTGCAAGATGATTCACTTGCTGGTTCACTGAGTTCTAAATCTCCATAATGGAAATAATCACAATCGAAAAAATACTTTGGTAATTTGCTGAAAGTTATACTACTCCTTATTTTGAAAACATTTGTACTAACAGACTACAGACATAACTACTGCAAAAAGTAATATATAATACAAGAAATTCTAACAGTATCATACTGAATCATATCCACATAAGCCTAAGGCTTTTATGTTTTCTGACAGAGGAAGTTAGGAAAAAAATAGAGCTCTGTATGCCACAACTGCTTCATCATACCTTAATTAATCATTGGCATGAATTTACAATAAGATACTTTTACAAAATAAAAAAAAAATATATATATATACACACACGTGTTAAAATGGGCTCAGTAAACTAGAAAAAAAGTCATGTTAGAATTAAGAAAACTAGGATCTCATCTTCTATTATCAATACATGTTGTTTCATCTCACATGAAAAACAGGATTCTTACCACAATAACATGTGTCACTGTTGATAGAGCACTGTCTCCTGTCATTAGTGTGCGAAGTAGTATGCCATTAGTGCAAAATGTTAACAGTGTCTTTGGAGAAACCCTATTGAACAGTTCATAAAGATACTTCAGTCTTTTACACCATTTAAATGCATGCTATCTTTTCATTACTGAAAATTAAAGTATTGAACAGCTACTCACCAAAAGCACAGTCTTCTCACAAAAAATTCGTAGTTTAAAACTATGCCTATTCCCAGAGAACGCCTACAGAATGTTGGTGTTTATATTCCAAAACTTCAGACAGTGGATTCATTAGCAAAGTGAGGTTCACATTTAAATAAATATATGAACAAATGAAAAAATCTTTAGAACCTCTGTTGTCTAGTTAGTAGAAAATTGTAGTCTAGCAGAAAATTGTTTTTGTAAAGCAATCCACACAAGTTCCAATTTTTCAACATGCTTGTACTGAACTATTTGCATTTGACTATACTTGACTGAATCAGGTGAAATCCTTTCAAATGAATCATTTTTTCTCTTAAAGAGTTTCAAGATCTGTAAAAGCTACTATTCTAGTACCTATGTCAGAGTTAGTTGTGCAAGTAAGACAGCAGTTGCCACTGCTTTCTCCAGTACTGCCAGCTTAAGTTCTAAAAAAGTCCTTGCTATCATACCCTAGAGTTCTTTTTTCGACAGCATATAAACTCACTACTTATCATATACTTTCTAAGCTTCATCTTGCTTTTCAAAAATCCTCCTACATCATACTAATTTCAAGGATTCGATATTCCAAAATGTATTCCTCTCCAGCAGCCTCTTCTAGAAATCATCATTGCTATCTAACATGAAAATTAAAACAATAAAACACGTGTTACCATAAACAGACCCCTTTTTTTTTTTTACCCAACGTTGGAAATAATGCCTTCTCTCTCTTTCGTCCTTTCTTTTGAGAATCCTATTTATTCTTTTTAAGGAACATTTTTCACACTGCTTCCAACTGCTCTTTAGATCCAACTTTGTTCTTCTTACTCAGCCATTGTAGTACTTCCATACAATAATTATTAACTTTCTTCCCTCAGAGGGTGGTGAGGCACTGGCACAGGTTGCCCAGAGAAGCTGTGGATGCCCCATCCCTGGAGGTGTTCAAGACGAGGTTAGATGAGGCCCTGAGCAACCTGATCTAGTAGGTAGCGTGCCTGCCGGCCTGTGGCAGAGGGGTCGGAACTAGGTGATCTTTCAAGTCCCTTCCAACCCAAGCCATTCCATGATTCTGTGACCTCATTTGCAATTCATCTTTTCTAGATCTTTATATCTCTTAATAAGCTTTTAAGCTTTTGTACACATACTCAAATTCTTCTTTAAATTGGCTCTGTTGTTCAACTGTACTTATTTTTATTAGCTATCTTCATTTCTATGAACAACATAGCCAGTCATACCCTTTGCCATCTTCTCATTCATTTCCCAACTACCAGAATCTCATCCATCTACACAAGTTGGGGAGTCTAGACATCCTGCACAACCTCCAGAATTTCATCCATTCCTGGTGTGCTTTGGGAAAATATTTCTCACACAACCTAGAAATCTCTACTCCTGTATCACGTAACACCTTAAAAAAGAAGAGTTCAAACATTAAATTTATTCCGGACTAGACTGGTAAACAATGATCAGCTTCATCATTAATATTTTGTTATTTTATTTTCCTTTTTAAATCCCCTATAAACTGTCACTATAAAGCCCTCCTCAAAGCACACTGGCCCTCCTACCTACCATTAAAGCTTGCAGAACTTTGGGGCCTACAGCATTACAAGACAAAATGTGGGGAGAAAAAAGGAGAAGAAAATGTAGACTTGCTCTGAAAATAATAGAAGTTTCCCTCTCCCCCCTGAAACGAAGTGAATGCACCTGCAAAACATGTGAGAAAACCTACTACATGGAACTACAGACTACAGGAGGAAAACTGTCTTCTGTAAATACTCCATTGCCTGAAATTGCACATCCTACCTATATTTTATACATTTGGCTGTTTACTAGGTTGTATCCCCAATATACTACAGTTTCAATGTACACGAGATTCAAGATACCATCACAAGATCAATTGCCTCAAAGAAATACTGTTAGTACCTGCTTTCTAATCGGATCTGATAACCAACTGTCTGGCCAATCTTTTCTCTTCTTTCTGCCGCCACTCGTTCAGCCACAGCAATAGCTGCCAAACGTCTTGGCTGAGTGCAAAATATACGACAGGGAATTCCATTTTTGTAACAGTCATCAAGAAGGAACTGAGGAATCTATAAGAAGTGTTTTCAAGTTACTTGTTAGTTTGATGAAGTTACAGGGTTTTTTTAACCACACTGAACGAACTTAACCACATCTCAGTACTAGCGGCGTTGCAAGAGCATTCACAACAGAATTACTACATGAAATGTACTTGGAACATCAGGAAGACAGGAAAAAATTATTAGCTTAGAAATGTAATCTGCTTCACAAAAAAAAAAGCTGAACCTTCTCTCACACTTCAGAGAAATCTATAAAAATACCTGTAAACAACCTTTCTTTTCATCATAACAATATTCTACTCTTGATACTAAAACCAGAACTAGCTGTAGAAGAAAAAGAGCTAAACAAAATAATAACTTAAATAATTGGTAAGAATGGAGCTATTTTAATGAAAACTAGTAACTATCAGAAAATTACATAGACCAATTTACACTTTTAATAAGTACCTGCGGACTTAGTATTTCAAAAGCACAAAAGTGAATTTAGACAAAGACTTTACTATATAGGAAAATAAAAGCCTGAGAAGTCAAAGAAACCCTTACTACTTACATGTTACAAAAATTGTGTTAGTTTTGTAAAAACAGGTTTTTTAAGAGAAATAAATATACATACTTGAGTAGTTTTTCCTGATCCAGTCTCTCCCACAATTAGAACAACTTTATTTTCCTTGATTATTTTGACAATTTCCTCCTGTTTTTCAAAAACTGGTAGTGACTGCCTGAAATAATCGAACTCCGATTCCCCTCTTTTCACAGGAACCTGAGGGATACCACTGTTCAGCCGTCCACTTGCCTTGTTGATTTCTCTGTTTTCTGTGGAAAGAATTAATAGTTTAGGTATGTATGCGAAGAAACAGATACCAAAGAAGGTCATTAAAATATTGTTCATTTTTGTATGATGGTGAAGCATTCCTGACCTGGTATGCATCCCTACAGATAAAGCAATGCACCCATCATGTATTTATATGAAATGTTTATAGTTCCATATTCTGTTATGGTGCTTGAAATAAATATCGTTTAAAGGAGTTGCTACTTCCACAAATGTTTTAAACAAAGCTTCCAGTACTTTACTCAAAGTCAAAAAATGTCATGAAAAACAAAAAGAAATAGAAACTAAACTTGAGAAAAACAGCCTGGTGTTTTTTTTTTTTTTCATGTTTACGCATTCACACCTCCACAGTTTGCCTAGAAATATTCACTGCATAGTTAAATAAAGAGAAATAAGTTTTTCCAAACTGAAAAATATTACTTCATAGAATGGCCTGGGTTGAAAAGGACCTTAAAGATCATCTAGCTTCAACCCCCCTGCTCTGGGCAGAGATGCCAACCACTACAGCAGCCTGCCCAGAGCCACATCCAGCCTGGCCTTGAAAAATTACTTCTGAGAAGTAACTCGGCAGTGATTCATATCCACTCTTTCATTCTGCCTGTTCTTCTATTACTTCCTATCAGTAACTTCTATATAACTTGATGTTCTAGTCTGCAAGATTGATCTTAAGTAACAGAAGTCAACTACACTGTATCTAGAACCCTAAACCCAAATATAACATTACCACGGATTAGAAAGAAATGCAAAGTATTCAAGGAAACTGCATACATTCAGAATTCATAATTACTTCAAATTCAAAATGCTGTTCTAAAATCCCCTTTTTTTTCCCGGAAGAATAAAAAGCCTTCTGTAAATCCAATGGCATGTACTAAACATGTTTAACAGATTACATTACAAGAAGCATCATCTTACCAAGACAGACATAGGCTAACAGATTACAGTCAAAAACTGTAGAACTAAAACATCATTTAAAGAAAGCTAGAAAAGAAACCACTTGGAGCATGAACCATCATAAATCTGAAATACCCAATGAAATAGGCTATTTTCCTATTCTACCCATATTGATAGAAGTGCAGCACACCTTTGCACATCTTTGAGCACAGAAATATAATGAAACTCTTGCATACAACTGTTAAAGCAATAACCTTATTCAAAGGATTGTTTTTAAAAAATAATAATAAAAATAAAACATATCAGAAGCATGTCTTCCAGCGGACTCTTTGATGTTCTGGGAATCAAAAAGTCTGGATGTTAAGCTCTTTGGAAACAAGTTTACAGCTAGAAGACGAGACAAAATTAAACCTGTGTTATCAAGAACATGAATATCTACAAGAAGAACAACCTCACTTCCTCACAGGCTATTCTTATGCAGTGGACTTGGTAGCATTTCTCTCTTCAGTTCCATTTCACAGAACTTGTAAGAATTTGTTTTGAAGTGGCTAAAAGATTCAAAATTAACTCTGCACAAGGGAGACATCAGAATGTGCATGGCACGATTGCCTAAGTAATGCTTCTTCATGAAACCAGTCTGAAGCCACGCTGTATTAAGAACTGAAGATCAAGTCAATTAATAGCTTTATCTAGGGAGAGGTCTCTCCATTGGAATGCAAAAGGAGACTGAAATCAGTGTGGTTTTATGTGGCTGGGTTGTGTTGTGGTGTTGTGTTCGTGTGGTATTTTTCTCCCCTAAGCCATACTGATGCACAAGTCCACATCAGATACACTGTACTTACCAGCTTCCACAGCAAATGCATTTCCTCGCTCAGTCTTTGGCAGAAGTTCTGTTCGTTCTTTGCTTGTGACAGGAAATCTCTGAATCAACCTCTGAATGGCATGTTTTGTCGTTGGAACCAAACAACAAGTCATTACTGCATGAATTACTTCTGATCCATCTTTCTTCCTTACAGTCAGGTATCGATTTGATCCTTTTCTGGGAGAGGAAAAAAATAGGAATAAGTAACTTATCTACCTCTATGCAATGCTATTTCAATTCTTCCAAGACTGCTGTCAGATTAGTTTCGAATAAAAGGTTATAACTAGAAATTTCCAGATAGCGTCCTTTGTCAAGTAACACATAATCAAAGTGAGAGAAGCATCCTCAGTATCCAACACCAAAGCCTCCCACTGTTACCTTAAGGTAATAGTGCAGAGACATTGCAGGCTTTGCATGCCTATGCCCAGCACACCACAATTAGGTCTCCATAATATAATGCTGGTCTGCTACATTATTTATTTATTTATTTAAAGTTGATCGTTACATTTGCTTCCCAAAAGATAGTGAATTCCGCCAATCACCGTATCAATCGATACTGAGAGGTATTACACAAAAATCATTTCTAGATAGGAAAGAGATTTAGAAGTTAAAAATTAACAAATAGAAGTAACAGAAAAGCAAGGAGAAAAACAGCAGCTGGAAGAGTGGGGTGAGACAATGTGAGAGAAGCAGCCCTGCAGCCTCCCAGGTGAGTGCAGCAGGAGGGCAGGAGGTGCTGCAGGCAGGCAGGCAGCAGCAGTTCCCCTGCGGGCTGTGCAGGGAGAGGCCCCTGGTGGAGCAGGCTGTCCCCCTGCAGCCCATGGGTCCCCCATGGAGCAGATCTCCACGCTGCAGCCCCCCCATGGGTGGAGGAGCCCCCGCTGGAGCAGGTGGATGTGGCCTGGAGGAGGCTGCGGCCCATGGAGAGCCCCTGCAGGAGCAGGTTTCCAGCAAGAACTGCAGCACATGATGCACCCATGCTGGAAAAGTCTGTTCCTAAAGGACTGCACCCTCCGGTATGAAAAAACTGCAGCCCTTCTCATGGCCTGTGTTGTAGCAGCTCATCAAGGATTTGTACTGCATGGGAGGGACCCCACACTGGGAAAGAAGAGAGTCAGGAGGAAGGAGCAGCAGAGATGAAGAATCATGGACTGACCACAGCCCCCACTCCTCATCCTCCTGCACAGAGAGAGGAGACAGAAGGAGGCACATGGCAGGGAAAGGATTTTCAGTTTTAGTTCTCACTGCCTTACTGTTATTAATTGACAATAAAATCATCTTCCCCAAGTTGAGTTGATTTTACCTGTGACAATAATCAGTGAGTGAACTCCCTGTCCTTATCTCAACCCACAAATTTTTTCATTGTATTTTCTCCCTCTCCTGGTGAGGTGGGAAAGTGAGAGATAGGTGAAGTGGGAACCTGGCTGCTATCTAAGGTCAACCCACCACAACCGTCCACAGAAAAAAAAAAAATAAGGACACACAGCATTGACCTGTGGTTCCCAAGAAACAGTTTTCCTTATTTATGCACTCATTGCCACAGGCACAGTAATGAATATTAATATTAAAATTATACTCTATTTAGAAATACAGTGATGGAAGTTTATAACAATCAAGCTGTTAAAGACAGGTAATTTCAAAAATTATTGCAAGTGTCATTATGGAGCTAATCTGGGGACACTAAGTCTAAGGATACTTGAATTTATTTTAAAAGGAGAGTTATGTTTCCATAATGTGCAATGTATTATCATAGTCAAAGAAAAAAAAAGAAGGTTTAGCCTTTCTAAGTGAACGCTCTTTTTTTTTTTTTCTTTCCCCATCTGATTAAATTTCAACTATTTTCCAAGTTTCAAGTCACCCTGAAGGCTCCAAAAAACACTGCAAACAGTATACCATACTTGGGAGTCACTCAGAAACACTTAGGAAGCTCTATGAGGAATCAGTGGGGATTCAAGCAGGGTTTACTGTTCGGAATAGGTACAGTATAGCTCAAGTGTCTTCCTGCTGACTGTTTCGGCACTTGTGCTAAAGCTTTCTAACACTTCACATTCCCAAAATATGATGCAAAGATACACAAGTTCAACTAAATTTATTGGCCCAGGTATCTTCAGCAAAAATCAGCTGTGCTACCCCAAGACGAGAACCAGTGTAGAGTAGCGTAACTTCACCTGGAAACCATTCAAGCAATTCAATAAACTCTCCTGAAATCAAGCTACTCATTCATAACAAGTTGACCTGAACAGCACCCACTGAAATAAGGCAGGTAAGCACAATTCAGAGAATTAGCAGGTTACACTCCTTTAGCAAGGATCACAAAGCACCACCAGAAATGAGTAACAGCAAATACTGCTGCAGTTTTACAACACTCTGCATACACACACCCACACACAGGTTACATGTGGGATCCTAAATTTCTGGGTTTGTCCTTCAACTTTCCCTTTTCTCATTTTTTTTTTCGCTTTAGCTTGCCCAGGAATCAGGTTCTCAGTTTTTATGCAAGCTTATCAGGTCAATAAACACGGATTCCTTCTTCGAAAGATCAGAGAAGGAGGGGAAGGAGGGGGGGGGGGGGGGGGGGGGGGCGGAAATTGTGAATACCCATGTATGAATCCTGTTCTCCTGCACTTCTTAGAAGCGCTCTTCTGGCATTTTACCTGTAGCTATCAGATTGTGTGCAAACCTCCCGGTCAGACAGCAGGGCAGGGAACTCTTTCCAGGGCCTGGAGCAATCGCTGCAGCAGTTAATTAATGGACAAGCCACCGAGCGTGCCAGGGGTTTTGTTCACCCGGCCGCTTGTCCCGGCGCACCGCGGGCTGCTTACCCTCTACTCTTCGATACCAGCCCGAGCGACTGGCACAGCCGGTGCACGAAGGCCCGCTCGATGTTCGTAAAGGAAGAAGGGAACTCCATCTCTAAGACAAAAAAAAATAAATAAGAAGAAGGAACAAGAAGGCGTTGCTCCGGCCGTGCCCAGCCCCCCCCCCGTCCCCCTGCGCGCACCTTTCTCGTCCCCGTATCGGAACCGCTCCAGGGCCGCGCTGACGGCGATCTCCACCTCCTCGTCCACGCGGATATCCTTCAGCGCCCGGCCGCGCCCGCGGCCCGACGAGGAGCCCCCCTGCGGGCCGCCGGGCTGCCGGGGGAAGCCGCCACCGCCCCCACCGCCACCGGCACCGCCACCGGCAGCGCAGGGCCGGGCCATGGCTGCGAGCACCGCGGGGAGACCGGCACCGGGCACGGGGCGGGCGGGGGCAGCGTCGTGACGGCAGCGCGCGGGGAGGGGCGGCCGCCGGCTCCTCCCGCCGAGGGGCGGCCGTTGGCGACCGTTAACGGCCGTTAACGGCAGGGGGAGGGCACGCCGACGTGCACTGGCAGGGGTCACGCAGCTTATCCCATAACTCCATCTAATTTACTCCGCAGGTACCGGCAGCACGCTGTTGGTGCTGCTGGTGAATATTTAGTTAATGAAAGCACACATAATCATTATAAATATAAAATTGTATTGTAAAATGAATAAAAATGTTTTGTTTTGCTTTGTTTCAGCATTAGGCTGCTGAATTGTATGTCCTTGTAATAGTCTGCAATTGGCAGTGACCAAAAGAAGAAGCACTGATGTTCATCCAGCCATAAATTATGTAATTTAGCTGAGTGACATTAAATACGAATGGGTAAGATCATCACAGTCCTCACTCTCCTCACCATAAAGCACTACTTGCTCTAGATTTTGTAAAATTTAAATAATTTTTCAAGATGGAACTCCACGGGAAGTTGTTTTGTCCTTTTGCTGTATGGGAAATTTGTCCATTCCTTATATATTCTTTAGACCAGTACGTAACCCCTTGGGTGAAACAAGCCTACACAGAGGCTAAGTTAAAAAAAAATATATAATAATTAAAAAAAAAAAAAAAAGGCTTTTAGACATGGCACAGGATTCACTTTTGATGGCTGCTACTTTGTGGTCATCATTTAGTCAGGAGAACACTTGGACCCAGAGCAAACTATTCCTCAAGTGTGAACTTAAGTGGACAACTGGGCCAATAGATAGCAAATAAACAGTGTAGAGTGTAGGAGCCTGAAGAATACCTCTTAAAGAGAGCTCTACCAAAGCAGTATGCAAAGCTCACTTCAGCGTAATTCTGCTCTGAGAATTAAGCTGTCTACCTTAGGAAGATAAAGATCCCATGCCTTGGTATCAGCAGTCACGTTGTGTGCTGGGCCCGGCTGGGATGGAGCTTGCTGTCCCGCAGCAGCCCACGCAGCGCTGTGCCCCGCACCTGCGGCCCCAGGCCCCAGTTGTTTTGTCTGCAGTGGGGCAGAGCTGGCACAGCACCAGGGCTGGCCCCCAGCCCCACAGAGCCAGCAGGATGGGGTGGGCAGCCCTGCGGAGGGAATGCACCGGGGCAGCTGGCCCAAAATGCCCGAAGGGACTTTTGGGGAAGGGGCTCTTGTTAGGAAAGCACCTGTCCTCCCAAGCAACTTGCAACACATTGAGGCCCTCCTTCCTGAGACATGGCTGAACACTGCTTGTTGGGAAGTAGAGAATAACTGTTTTCTCCTTTTGCTTCTGTGCAGACTTTGCTTGTTTTTCACTATAATTAAGCTGTGCTTATCTCAACATGTGAGCCCTTTTTCATCATCCTGTTTTCTCCCCCTGCTCGTTTCAGCAGGGGGAGTAGGGGGAGTGAGAGAGCAGTGTGGTTGAGTTTAGCTAGCCATCAGCTTGATAACCACCACCACGAGACTGACCATAGCAGACTTGAAAGAGTTACATTAGACTTCCATAATTATGAACACAGATCTGTTACCAGTTCCCATGTCTTAACAGCATCATCTTGCTTTCCTACAGAAAAAGCATGTGATTCTGCAAAATTATTCTTCAGACCCTGTTCTGATATCAAATTTGCAATCTTGTGTACACAACAGCTCACAAGGATAGTAATTCGCTATTATGATAGGTTTTGTATGGAAAGTTAAGAGTATGATGGGGCCCAAGTGCATCCAGCATAACAAATTTCTTAATGCATAGCTTGCTTCTTCCATTGCTGTGTTGACTCTCCAATGCTATTTTTTGTGAAAAATGAGGAAGATGCTATTTTAGTCAAGTAAAAAGACATGTTTCAAAAAAAGGAGTACACACATTGGGAAAGAAGGAATCATTGTTATATACTCCTGCTGGAAAATGAAGCTGCATTTTAAGGAGTGCAGCCTGAACTCACAGCTAGCATAACTCTTGCTAGAATTACACCAGAGGTTAGTTTGTCTCCAGGTGTTTAAGACAGGAACTCATAAAATATTAGTGAAATAAAGGGAAGCTTGGCTCACTAAACTAGCAGTGTTTGAATTTAACACATTGTAAAGATGAGTGGGGTGCAGGCACACTGAGCATGATATAAACTATCTGCTTGTTACAGCTTTTCACTATCGATATACCAAAAAAAAAAAAAAAATCAGGCATCTAATATATCATTCTCAGACTACAGATACACATTGGAGGAGTAAGGATTTAGGTAAAAATATCTACTGAACACAGAGTAATTCAACACTACAGTGAAGCAGGAGAAACATTTTCATGATAAGTAGCTGCTACCCATATGCTGTGTGCTCCAACAAGTCCTAGTCCTGCTAACTGGCTGTTTGAAATATGCGCTGAGTGTATGAAAACAAAGAGTGAAAACAAAATTGTGCCTTAAGCCCCAGTGTTCTGCTGACTGGATTCCAGATTATGAAAACACACTTCCAAACCCACAAAGGGTGATTCTAGACCACCTCGAGGCTGCCCGGCAGCTCTCACTCTCCAGGTGCAAGCCGCAACCCTGGTTAGGCTGGGCAGCACACGCTCACTGGAGGACTTGACACCCAAACACAGCTGTATCAGCGCGTCATGGGGCAGGCCCAGGAACTGCCCAGGGCCAGAAGGTGGAAGCTGATAACGAAATGCACCGTGCCTGCTGTTACTGAAGAGCCTGCTTTTTCACAGCAATAGAGCTGTGGCATGCTCCCTCTGTTCTCTGCTCTGTGAGGAGCAGCACACTCTTGCCTTCAGAAACAGGCATGTGGATCTGTGGGTTAGATAATGAATAAATATATGGGATTTAGCAGTCCTGAGTTTTGGTTGGTTGTCAGTGAGAGTTTGACATGTGTTTTGTTATGATTAATCTCAGTAAATCATCATGAAATTCAAAGTCACAAATTCAAGTCTGTTGTATGTGGTTTCCATTCAAGACATACTAAGAAAAGAGGAGCAGAATAAACCCATGAAACACGGGGTGAAAAATTAAACAGCATGTAACAGAACAAGCAAACAGACCATGACTAACGAGCCAAAGGGATTCTTGAGAAAAATTGTGATGAACATATTCATCACAATTTGGAATTGTAATCATCACAGTTTGGAATGTTCATCACAATTTGGAATGTGCTGTGTGTGTGTATATCTGTATATTGTGTACCTCGTATATGTATTACACGTGTAGTGCCTCTTCAGTATTGCCATACAAGCAGAAGGGCCTAATGCCATATAAATGCTGCCATTGTTTTCACTTCTGTGGTTTATTATGTTCATGTAGGCAAGGAGAAATTGTAATTGCAAAGTGCAGTTTTGACAGCTTCTCTTTTCCCCTTAGGAGTGCTCTCAGCATACTTGCTTCTCAGTCAATAACTACTCACTGTGTAATGTGGTCAAAGACATAGGTCCGTTAGATTTGTCTTGTCTCATATTTTTGAGAAAGAATCTTTACAGCAAGGTCTGTGTCTGTGAGCAGAGGAAATGCTCACCTGCTTTCAGGCAGCTCTTCACCCAGTTTGGTACTCTAGCACAAGCTCAGGCCAATATTAGATGTAAAAGTACAGTGGGAACATACAACAAATCATTCTGAAAAAAATTACATCCAAAACAGGTTTTGAGTTTGTTTCAGTCTACATTCTTTTACCTGGTAGTTCATGTATGTGAACTTATACCTTTTTATAAAAACTACTAGCCGTAGATTTTCTTATTAAAGTTAATAACTTGTAAGACTTCTTAAAACCTCTTTTCAGGGTTGGCCTCAGAAATACCTTCTGGCAAAGGCTTATGCCAAGCAAATATTCCTCAAATGAGAATTATTTCCTTCTATCACCACATGCCCAAATACCTACATATTTTTTTTAATGAGAAGCATTAAGAGGCAGCAGAGCTTAATGCTAAAATACACCTGCGTATTCAAATACAATTATGCATTCTTATCTTGCCCTCTTCAGGGGCACTTTTACTATGTAGCAGTATTTGCAGGCTTGTTTTTTACTTTGAGAAATATCCTCTGTCTATTGAATTATGAAAAAAATATATCCTTTATGCACTAACTTCTTAAGTGTATTGTGTCAGAGTTGATTACAAAATAGTTACAGTCTTTCTGTGATTTTTTAAAGATTTTAGTGGTTAATGTTGTAAGATTTACTTATCTCTTCAAATGTGATGCAAGAATCACTGATGATCTAGTAACATACAAGCTCGGGTTACCGAAAGAGCAAAGGATTTATATTTTTTCAGTCCCTTTATTAGAAAAATGACATAGTGATACATTTTTGTTTTAGGTATCATAGCGAATTTGTAACCTGATAGGTGTTGGCTGTGGTTATTAATGGTCCTATTAAGATAAGTTATGTACTTATAAATATTTAAGGCAGTAAGGCTAGTGTGAAATTAGAATGAGAAATGTTTATTTAAGAGAGGACATGGTGAAAAAGATCCTCTGTTGCTTTACTGCACAAAATGGTGTACACTCATAATATCCTAGAATTTCTACTGCTCGTGTGACTTACAGACGCATGATTGCCTCCTCCACATTTCAGTTACTGTGCTGGGTTTACATGGCAAGGTTGTGGTAGCGAGGAGGGGATGCAGGGGTGGCATCTGTGAGCAGAGCCCAGCAGCTGCCTCATGTCAGAGCAGAGCCAGCTCCAGCTGCTCCAAAAGGGACCTGCTGCTAGCCAGAGCTGAGCCAGGGAGTGATGCTGGGTGGGCCTCTGGGACAGCAGAGAAAAGAAAGGGAATAATACTGCTGTGCAACAGCAGCTGGGAGAGGGGGGTGAGAAGCAGCCCTGCAGCCCCCAGGTGAGTGCCTCAGGAGGGCAGGAGGTGCTGCAGACAGGCAGCAGCAGCAGTTCCCCTGCGGGCTGTGCAGGGAGAGGCCCCTGGTGGAGCAGGCTGTCCCCCTGCAGCCCATGGGTCCCCCATGGAGCAGATCTCCACGCTGCAGCCCCCCCATGGGTGGAGGAGCCCCCGCTGGAG